GAAAGTTGACTGGAAGGTTAAAGTGTGGCAGGAAAAGGTGCACAAGCAAAAGGGATAACCGCAGCCTTGAGAGGATTGTTAAACAAAGCCCGTTCAAGTACTTGGGGGAGCTTCACAAGGAGTGGACTGAGGCCGCAGTCAGTGCACCAAGAGCCACCAGGCACAGAAGGCTCCGGGAATTGAACTACATTCCTAGTGTTAAGTCACTCCAGCGTGAGAAGCTCCTATTGGGCTAAGGAGAAACAGAACTGGACCGTTGCTCAGTGCTCCAAAGTCCTTTTTTCAGATCACTAATATTTACATTTCATATGGAAATCAAGGTTCCAGAGTAGGACGAGTGTAGAGGACCAGAATCCAAGTTGCTTAAAGTCCGGAGACGCTGATTTCATTTTCCAGCAGGACGTGGCACCTGCCCACAGGGCCAAAACCACTAGGAACTGGTTTGCTGACCATGGTGTTACTGTACTCGGTTGGTCAGCCAACTCACATGACCTGAACCTCATAGAGAATCTATGGGCTGTTGTCCAGACCAACAAAACAGACGAGCTGAAGGCCGCAATCCAAGCAGCCTGGGCTTCCCATCACCACAGCAGGGCTGCGAATATTTAATTCAACCCGTTGAACCCGGCGTAACTTTTTAACTCTGGGGACCTATTTAGCGTGATTTTTGTAATGTAAAGCTCCATATTTGTATAGCGCCTTTTCACTACATCTGCATTCACCATTCACTCACATTTATACACTGAGCCTAAGTGCTCAAACAGAAACTAACATTCACATACATTCTGGCACAACAGCCACCAAGGGCAATTCGGGGTTCAGTACTTCAAGGAGCCGCCAACCTTCAACCCTCCGGTTATTGGGCAACCCGCACAACCTCCTGTGCCACAGCCGCCCCACTTTTTTCAACACTAAAGCATTATTTGTCAGGTGACGTAGGTCAATTATAAGTCAACTATTTAAAACAAATAGTTTACTTAAATTACATCACTTAACTCTTGAGGGATGGATGGAACTTCCATAACTAACCCACTTATTTTAACCCAAACCATGATATTTTCCTAAAGCTAACCAGGAAGTTTGTGCCTAAACCTAACCAAACAACAAGTGTTTAACATTGTTTAGCACATGTTTTATTTTGTAAGTCTAACCGGACGTAGCATATTTATTGTTTTAACCATGGAGCACTGCACATGCGCTTGGTCATTGGGCATTGTTTTTTAACGCCCTGGATACCCCTTAGCGATGTTTTTTGACATGTAGGGCTCGGGGGTCAAGTTAGCAACAATAAACATGCAACGTCCGGTTAGGTTTTAAAAATTAAAGCAGTGGTAAACTTTGTGATACTTTGTGGTTCAGTCAACAAAACTACTTTGTTGCGTTTACATCATTGGGTTGACAGTCAGAGGCATCGATGTTTTTTTCAGAATTCACTCAGTCAACCTGACACACATTACGACAGAATTTAAACAGACTTTTACAGATGATTCAGACTTTGGACATGTTCAGTTCATACATTGCAGAGTTAAAGAGTGGCTGGCATGTCAGCAATTTTAATGATAAAACAATTTGCAGCACACTGACTGCACTTTTTATATCTGCTTTGTAATACTCAAAAGCATTCCTCAAAAAGAAAAGTTCATCAGAGAAGCAAGGTGAGGAGTGCAGGTACTGACAGCTTTTTGTCTGGTTTAGAACCAGAAAAACAAAGTTAAAGAGTTGTCATTTAAGTGTAAAGATTTAAAAGTTCAATTCAATTTTATTTATATAGTACCAAATCACAACAACAGTTATCTCACAACACTTTTCATAAAAGAGCAGGTCTAGACCGTACTCTATGATGCTATTTATTCATTTAGCTGACGCTTTTATCCAAAGCAACTTACAATTGCTATATATGTAAGAGGTCGCACACCTCTGGAGCAGAGGGTGTCGAGCAGGAACACGGGGGCAGCAGGTGACCCGCAGCCACAGATCCAGACTCCACAGCTCCAGAGCCAGAAAACCTGCAGGAAGTGATAGGAGGAGAGAGGAGAGGGACGAGAAAGCACAAGACTACCGGAAAGGGGAGAAGTTGTGTTAGTAACATGCAATAATGGGATGAGGTTGCATACAGAGGGAGAGAAAGTAGAGGAGAGAGGAGCTCAGTGCATCATGGGAAATCTCCCGGCAGTCTAGGCCTATAGCAGCATAACTAAGGGATGGTTCAGGACTCACCTGAGCCAGCCCTAACTATAAGCTTTATCAAAGAGGAAAGTCTTAAGCCTACTCTTAAATGTGGAGATGGTGTCTGCCACCTGAACCCAAACTGGAACCTGGTTCCACAGGAGAGGAGCTTGATAACTGAGCGCTCTGGCTCCTAGTCTACTTTTGGAGACTCTAGGAACCACAAGTAACCCTGCATTCTGGGAGCGCAGTGCTCTGGTGGGGTAGTAAGGTACTTTGAGCTCTTTAAGATAAGATGGTGCCTGACCATTAAGAGCTTTGTAGGTAAGAAGAATGATTTTAAATTCTATTCTGGATTTTACTGGAAGCCAATGCAAAGAAGCTAAAACAGGAGAAATGTGATCTCTTTTCCTGGTTCCTGTCAGAACACATGCTGCAGCATTCTGGATCAGCTGAAGAGTCTTAATGGACTTTTTCGAGCAGCTTGATAATAAGGAATTGCAGTAATCCAGCCTAGAAGTAACAAATGCATGGACTAGTTTTTCTGCATCATTTTTAGACAGGATGTTCCTGATTTTCGCAATATTACGTAGGTGAAAAAAGGCGGTCCTTGAAATTTGCTTAATTTGAGACTTAAACTACATGTCCTGATCAAAGATAACTCCAAGATTCTTCACAGTGGTGCTGGAGGCCAGGGCGATGCCGCCAAGGGAAACTATATCTTTAGATAATGCGTCACGGAGGTGCTTAGGCCCCAGAACAATAACTTCAGTTTTATCTCAATATAACATCAGAAAATTACAGATCATCCAGGTTTTAACATCCTGAAGGCACATTTGAAGTTTAGCTAACTGACGAGTTTCATCTGGTTTGATCGATAGATATAACAGAGTATCATCTGCATAACAATAAAAGTTTATGGAATATTTCCTGATAATATTGCCTAAAGGAAGCATATATAAAGTGAAGAGGATTGGTCCGAGGCCAGATCCTTGAGGAACTCCATGACTAACTTTGGCATGCATGGAGGACTCATCGTTAACATGTACAAACTGAAATCGATCTGATAAATAGGACTTAAACCAGCTTAGAGCTGTTCCTTTAATGCCAATGTTCCAGTCTCTGCAATAGGATCTGATGGTCAATGGTATCAAATGCGGTACTAAGATCTAATAAAACCGGTACAGAGACAAGTCCTTTGTCTAATGCAATGAGGAGGTCGTTTGTAATTTTCACCAATGCTGTCTCTGTGCTGTGATGAACTCTAAATCCTGACTGAAAATCCTCAAATAAACTATTGCTCTGTAGAAAGTCACACAGCTGTTTAGCAACTGCTTTCTCCAGAACCTTAGAGAGAAATGGAAGGTTAGATATAGGTCTATAGTTGGCTAAAACATCCGGATCAAGTTTGGGCTTTTTCAGAAGAGGTTTAATTACAGCTACTGTGGTACATAGCCTGTTGATAAAGATAGATTGATCATATCTAGTATAGAAGTGCTGACTAAGGGTAAAACATCTTTAAGCAGCCTAGTCGGGATGGGGTCTAAGAGGCAGGTTGATGGTTTAGATGAAGAAATTTTTGAAGTTAGTTGGTAAAGATTGAGTGAAGCAAAGCAATCTAAACATGTATCTGGTTCTACAGCTGTTTCTAAGGTTCCTGAGTTTAGAGATAAATCGGTGCCAGTTGAGGGCAGGTCTTGGTGAATTTTGTCTCTAATAGCTAGAATTTTATCATTAAAGAAGCTCATGAAGTCGTAACTACTGAGAGATATGGGAATACTTGGCTCAATAGAGCTGTGACTCTCTGTCAGCCTGGCTACAGTGCTGAAAAGAAACCTGGGGTTGTTCCTATTTTCCTCTATTAATGACGAGTAGTACGCTGCTCTGGCATTACGGAGTGCCTTCCTATAAGTTTTAAGACTATCTTGCCAAATTAAACGAGAATTTTCCAGTCTGGTGGAACGCCAATTCCTCTCAAGTTTCAGCGATATTTGCTTTAATTTGCGAGTTTCAGTATTATACCATGGAGCTAACCGTCTTTGTTTTAGTATTTTCCTTTTTAGAGGGGCTACAGAGTCAAGTGTCATTCGCAGCGAGCCTGCAGCACTATCAACAAGATGATCGATTTGGGAGGGACTGAGTACAAGACCAAACAGAGCAAAACACACTGTGGTTTCAGAGCAGGCCAGTTTGATAATGAAGTAGTTTCCCCAGAAAACTTTTTTAATGTTTCCACACAGCTGGAAAGGGGAACTTTGTCGTGATGAGAATAAGTAAAGGTTATACATCACTTTCTGAGTAAAAAAATATTTGGTCTAATTATTTGATAATTAAATAACATCCACAAAAAGTGGTGACATGTTCCTCCACTATGAATCGTGTTCTTTTTCTTTCAATCTCTTTATTTCTCTTTTTACTGAAGAAATTTTAAATACCAGCAAATATACGATCTGTAATCAGTGTTAGTCAGTTAGGATATTAGTAACAGTGGTTCCTTTGGTAATGACATCAGTTTGCTGCTGTGGACGCCCACTGATGAAAGGTTTAAAAGAAGCAGAGTTACAGTTCAGTTCAGAGGAGGCCAGGGTTTGATTCATGTCATTAACTGTGTGTTGTAGTTTTTAATGTTATATTGAGCTGAAATAGAGGATAACTTGGTGTAAGTAAACTGTAAATTGTTCATATTTTCTCGATGTGTTATCTTCCAACTCTGACTAGTGTAAAGTTTAGATTAGTTTACCTCTGTAAATTTATGACTGAATGTAACATAATTATTGCAGTCAGTTCTTCCGGTGAACAGTGTTATGCTTAATGCTTTAAACCAAAAGAGGATCATGATGAATTCTACTCAGGGTTCATATTTCATACTTGGTGCCTACTTTGACAGCGGTCCTTTAAAATATTTGTTTTTCATGATTCTTACATCATTATATATTTTTATTCTCAGTTTAAATCTTCTGCTCATTGTGGTTATCTGTATGAACAGAAGCTTACATGAACCTATGTACCTTTTTCTGTGTAGCCTGTTTGTAAATGAGCTGTATGGTAGTACAGGGTTGTTTCCATTCCTTCTGCTTCAGATTCTCTCTGACATTCACACTGTTTCTGTTCCCTTTTGTTTCCTGCAGATTTACTGTGTGTATTCTTATGCAGGTGTAGAATTTAGTAACTTAGCCATCATGTCTTATGACAGATATCTTGCTATCTGTTGCCCTCTACAATATAACATACGTATGACATTTAGGAAGGTTGTCATACTTATTGCTGCAGCATGGTTGTATAACTTGCTTGGAGTTCTTGTCGTTACATCTTTAAGTTCCTCTTTACAGCTGTGTGGAAACACCATTAACAAAGTGTACTGTGACAACTACTCTATCGTCAAACTGGCCTGCTCTGACACCCGAGGGATTAACCTTTATGGGCTCATTGGCACTTTTCTCTCTGTGTTTGGTCCTGTAATATTAATTATTTACACTTACATGAGGATTCTTAAAGTTTGTTTTTCTGGTTCTAAACAGACCAGACAAAAAGCTGTCAATACCTGCACTCCTCACCTTGCTTCTCTGCTCAACTTTTGTTTTGGGGTTTCCTTTGAAGTATTACAGAGCAGGTTTAACATGAACAGTGTACCTAACATGATGCGAATACTTTTATCATTGTATTTTCTTACATGCCAACCGCTCTTCAACCCTTTAATGTACGGCCTCAACATGTCCAAAATCCGCATCAAATGCAAACATCTGCTTTTTAGTTCTGTTAGATAGATTTGTTCACCTTGATTAAGAAAAGAAAACAATAAATTTATGCCTTTGGCTCACTAGTGTCAAAAGTAATAATTATTTCAGCTAACGTATTGTATCAAAACGTAGGAACTTTATCATTCAAGTTTTACAAAATAAAAATAAAAGGGTTGATTCTGATCTGTCTGATAAGAATGAATTGATGCATTATTTTATTTGCAGTGAAAGGTGACATACTTTTGTTTTTCTTGTTTCATTCATGTTGTTGTGTTTTAAGCTTCTTAATGAAGCAAAGGCACGAGATCTAAAATCTTAAATCCTCAGCATTTTCAGAGAAAGAATTTCTGGGTGAAATTTTGGAAGTCATTTAAAAGTGTGTCTATTGGGCATGAACTAAGTAATAAATAATAATAAAGTGAATTTACTTGTTCTAAACTTTCTTTGCGATTATGTTGCTTCATTTGAGTCTTTTCACCTTTGAGAGAGATTGTATATCATGGCTATATAAATGTTACTGAACTGACTACCTTTAGCAGTTTATTAGTAACCAGTAGGACTTTGTCGTCTTCCAGGACAGACAGACTTTGAATATGTATCTTCTTTACAGAGGAGACAGCAGAATGCTCAGTACAATTAAGCAGGATAATAAAGGAATACTTTCATCTTGTACCTTGAGGAAAGATTTAACTGACATAATTGTTGCTATTTATAGTCATCATATTTTTTTCAAGTTGTCACTAGAACTTAGTTATAAACTAAATATAAATGTAAATAAATGTTCATACTTTTAGTTTTTTACTGTCCGTTGTCGGCAGAGACCCCAAACCCTGGCAATTGACAACACTATACCCACAGAGTAGTCTTGGTTCAGAAAACTTAAAAAAAAAGAGTCTCTCTGGACTGATGTGAGCTTTCTTTAGGAATTGCAGTTAATATCAAACCACACCTGCCAGGTAGGAAATCTTCAGTCCAGAGCAACATTTTCTGAATGCAGTCAAATTAAATAAAAGTTGGGTAGGGCAGATCCAGCAAGCTTAACTGCCTACACACTCTGGTTACATGAGGACAGGCATTGTCCTGCACCAAGAGGAACCCAGGGCCCACTGCACCAGCGTAAGGTCTGACAATGGCTCTGAGGGTTTTATCCCGGTACCCAACAGCAGTCAGGGTACCATTGGCTAGCACATGGAGGTCTGTGCGACCCTCCAAGGATATGCTTCCTCAGACCATCACTGACCTCAGGATAGATTGACGTTAACTTACTCATAAATTCTCCCTATACGTGGATGATCTCCTCTTGTACCCTCATCCTCATTTCCTTCTATTGGTAATATTCTTAGTAAGTTTGGAGAATTTTTGAGCTTAAGAATTAACCTTCACAAGAGTTGGATGTTCCCCCTCACCAATTTCCCCAGCTCATTTTCCATTTAAAATAGATAAGAAAGGATCTAAATATCTTGGGGTTGACATCACACCCACCTTTCTATCTCTTTCTATTAATATTTTTTGCTGTTTATTTTATTTTTTACCCGGGAAGTCCCTTGAGATTAAAATCTCATTTCCAAGGAAGACCTGGCCAAGACAGCACTCCTGTTACAATTTAAACAAACATCACATATAAAGAAAGGTCACACGAGGCAGCTACATTTCTCAGTTACATGTAATTTTAACACGGCTTTAAATTCATTTAGTGTGACTAGATCATTTAGATGCAGTAAGTTTTGTAAGTTATTCCACGACCAGGGAGCAAAGTAAGAGAAGGTTTTTTCCCAGCTTAGTAGAAACCCTTGGAATCTGGTAAGAACCACCTGGTGGAACACAGATAAAAACTGCTTCAGGAGATTACATAACTATGCCAACAGTTTACCCAGCAAGGCCTTGTACACAAAGATATACAAATGAAGTTGTCTACGTAGACATAGTGACGGCCAGACTACCAAATCATGAAGTGTACATTCACTCGCAAGGACCACACCACCAATGGATATGTTTATACACTTTATTGATGGACACAATCAAGCGTGCAATGCTGGTCACTGTGTTTGAGGCGTTGTGGGGAAGTTATCGTAGGGAGGATCTGCTGTAGCTCCCGGGCACGACAGACCCCCCAAAAGCTTCCGGTTATTTTAGAAGGGATTGGGCTGATTTAAGATCTATGAGATCTGAGCAAATGTAACGTAGGCATGCTTGGGAGGACCATCGGCCCATGGCCTATATCATGTGGTCGGGAACGCTGTTACGGGAGCTCTGATCCTGAAGGAGTGATGGAGAAATGAGCGGGAGAGATGCCAGCCGAAGAGAGAACGTGATGAAGATGCTGGTGGAACCAGAAATGAGTTGCCACGGCGCCGAACACGGAGAGGAAGAGGGGTTCGGCCCTGGTTGAGATCTGGGAATTCCTGAGCTGTAGGTAGCTAGCGAGGATCTTGCACAGGTTGAAAGGTGATTGGGTCTCGAAGTAAAATATGGTAGTGAGCGGGCCCGATTGATTGGTTTTAGTTCACTTTAAGTGGAACACCGTGGTGTCGTTTGAGTAGTGGGAGAGGTCTGCGATGCAAGCGTGCCGGCACGGGTTGTAGTGGAGAGTGTTAGCTGTGAATTCAGAGCATCTGAGGAAGCTGAAGAAGGCAAGTGTGAATATAGCTTCTAAGGTGTGGGACACGTGAGGGGTGCAGTGTACGGCACGTATGGTGTGGATGTAGATGGACAGCAAGTCTGCTGTGAGAGGAAGGCGGCGAGGTTCTTGGGCTGGAACGTTGGCTGGAAGCCCTGGTAGGAGGTAGAGGGCTCTGGGGATTTGGTGTTAGTGAATCTTGCTGGAGCTGATTGTGAGGGCTGGTGTTGACGGGAGGTTCTGGTGTTCCTTTTCCCTTTGGGATCTCTTCTTAGGGAATGATGCTGGCTTCTCTGCTGCTTCAGCATTTTGTGGAGTGAAGCGATGGTCCAGTCAGACATCTTGGGGGAAGGCTGGGCGAAGGGATGACGGACTGTCCTTGAAGTTCCTCTTTTCCCTGCAGAGGGAGGTGAGCTAAGAGACTCGGGTGAATGGTAATGGTTTTGGATATGGAGGAAAGAAGAACCAGGATTCAGACCGTGGAGGAAACTGAGTGAGTGCTTGCTGTACTCACGCACTTCCTGGTTGTCTTGGTGGCTGGGAGCGGAGTTTCGGGCCCAGAGATCGTGGAGACGTTTTCGGTTTCGGGTATTTGATCCGTGTGGACGTGGAAATCCTGCTTTTATCCAAAGTGTTCTTCATCGGAGGGAGACAGCGACATGGAATCCATTCTCGACTGGTGAGTAAGATTAGATGGAACGAACCCGAATGATGTAGTGCCTTATGTTGCAGAATGCAGGAGCGAAGAAGAGGAGATGGGTTAGCTGGGTATTTATGGAAGTGAGGGAGTGGTGTGATTGGTGTGTGGTACTGCTCCTGAAAGTCTGCTGGTAGCTTCACATGGTGAGTACAGGAATTGGAGTTAGTTATAAAATGTAGAGCACTACTTTAGTCTAACTTGAGGCAGCATGCATGTAGACAACATCACTATAGTTCAAAACACTTAAAATGGTAGCCTTCACAAGGCTATCATGTTAGAACAAGCCTTTCTCTGAAATGGGGCCGCTCAGGGCAGCCATGGTATTTTGGTGCGCCCTGTTTACATTTGTTAACTTTGCATTCTGCTGTGATACCCAGAGTTCTTTCACCAGAGGAGAGCTCATAAAAATCAGGGGAACAACACCAGCAGATTTAATTACGACTTTTCTCGTGCCATCAGTGGAATTATTGGACATTGCAGTCAAGGCTTCACTCTCCGCTGTTCATGCGGTGAGACGCCGGAGGAGGGGGAGGAGGTCCGGTACGCTGGTGCGACTATGCCGAAGAGGACACCGCAGCCGCTACCTGGAATATTTCTCTCCAACGTGCGCTCGCTGTGCAATAAACTGGACAAACTTAAGCTACTGGTGGGGAAAAACAGGGACTTTTATTCATCTTCTGTTCTGTGCTTCACGGAGATGTGGCTGTGTGGACTCCACGCTGCAGCTAGCTGGCTTCCAGGTCTACAGAGCGGACCAAGACACAGAACTCTGGTAAAACAAAAGGTGGAGGTGTCTACTACTACCCATGAGTTCTCGGTGGTCACATTCCACATTCAGTCAGAATCAGGTCACAATTTAGAAGGCTTGCATACAACATCAATACATTACCCTATGAAGAACAATCACATTTTCCCACCTTCTGTCCCTCGACTCGAGCTTTGGGGTTTGGCTCATGAAGGTTATTAAACCCATCTCTACTTTTATAACTTGATGGCAGATTTGTGTCGTTCTAACAACTTGCTGAGAAGTTTGACCTGACCTGTTAAAAACAAAGGGTGTCACAGGGAGTCACTCGTAGGGATCCTTTCCATCATGTTGTTAGAACCCTGGTAAAACAGTCTGAGCCTGTCGCACAATCGCCCCAAAGGAGTATGTCGCAGGCACCTCAGCCGGTTCAGCTGCTGGCTGAAGCATCTACTGATCAGATTTCAAAACGTTTTGTACATACTAGTCATTTAAAGACCAGATTATGCAAAAATGTGGACCAGGTTTAAAAGTATCAAAATGATCTTTTACATTTCAAGGCTTTGTTTTCATTGCACAAGGCTGTACAGGTGGATTCATGTCTCTCAAGTCTTGCCTGCATATCATTGAGTGACGTTTCCCTTGGTTTAATGGTCTCATCGTGTTGGATAGTCGCCCCATCAGTGGTTAGTTAAATTGAATGTTTAGCTATAACTCGGTCCTCTATGGACTTCACTTATCTGTCCATGTTGGGCAAGGTTAATGTTGAATACCAGCAAATATACGATCTGTAATCAGTGTTAGTCAGTTAGGATATTAGTAACAGTGGTTCCTTTGGTAATGACATCAGTTTGCTGCTGTGGACGCCCACTGATGAAAGGTTTAAAAGAAGCAGAGTTACAGTTCAGTTCAGAGGAGGCCAGGGTTTGATTCATGTCATTAACTGTGTGTTGTAGTTTTTAATG